TTTTAAGCTAGCATACCAAACTACACTACAATGCAGAAAGGATGTAAGAGAATTATGGAATTCTCAATACGTCTCACTCGGGAGATACAATACCTGTGCGGTTCGTCTGGTTGCGCCAACCTCAAATGAACCGTACATACAATATCGTGCCTACAAAGAAAAAAAACTTAACAGGTACAATATGGTTAGCAACATGCATGACAATGCAAATGTGGTGTAATATATATACAAAACAATGTATAAACAATGCAAATGAAGATGCAATGCAATTGAAACAAGCAAATTAAAATGCAAAGCAATCGAATCATGATCCAATCACGAGTGGTTCGAAACCACACCTATGTCAAATAGATTGATGGAGGTAACAAGTTTGTCTACCACAGAATGGTCAACGGAACTGTGAGCATTGTAGACAGACACAAGAATAAGTATTGGGTGGAATTGACATAAGTGGGGAAACGACCCGCTGGGGAAATGACAATGATCCTAATGCCGGATGCAAAAATTACACTACAATGTAATGGACATGAATATGGCACGCAGGCCAAACCAAATCTTGCCTAAGTAGGGCATGTACGCATACAAGCCACGTCTAACATAGAACGGTCTACTGAACTATGTTTTGACACGAGAAGTATGGGCACATACCAGACCAAGCTCAACATGGAAAGGTGCAAGCCATAGATGAAAGATGATGCAATGCATGCAATCTACGATGCAATGGATATGGCATGCGGGCCAAACCGAATCTTGCCTAGGAAAGACATGTACACATACAAGCCATGTCTAACACAGAAAAGGTGCCGCAACCCTCAACCAACATACCAGCGTGGAATCGGCGCGATACACATGCAGAACTGTGTTTTACGTGAAAAGTAAGGGCACATACCAGACCAAGCTCAACATGGAAAGGTGCAAACCATAAAAAATGGAAAGTGATGCAATGAATGCATGCAAACTAAAATGCAATATCTACAAATATGCAATGGAATGGACATGGATACAATGG